TTAGAACGCAGGCCTTCTGACCTCGAATCCAATGTGCCCCCGAGAGAGAAAAGGCAGGGGTGGCCCCCCTCAACTCTCCTTCCTCTCTTGCTTGATTCAACCATCAGTTTCTGACCTTGTTTCCTCCCCCGTCAGCCAAAGAGAGCTCCCTGAGTGAGCCGGAGTTACCGCCCGACTCTGACACCGTGGGGATGGACAGCAGCTACCTCAGTGTGAAGGAGGCCGGGGTGAAGGGGCCGCAGGACCGGGCCAGCGCCGACCTCCCCAGCCCGCTGGAGAAGGCCGACTCGGAGAGCAACAAGGGCAAGAAGCGGCGGAACCGAACCACCTTCACCAGCTACCAGCTGGAGGAGCTGGAGAAGGTCTTTCAGAAGACCCACTACCCCGACGTGTACGCACGGGAGCAGCTGGCCATGAGGACGGACCTCACCGAGGCCCGCGTGCAGGTCAGCGGGGTGTCTGGGGTGGGACGGGTGAGCAGGCCTGGCTCCTGGGCTGGTGGTGTGGGCTGAGACCACCTGATGGTCCCTCAACCCCACGTCCTTCACCTCAGTCCAAAGAGAGCCCCAGAGGTTCCCAGCCCGCCCCTCACGCTTCTGCTTCGGCCAGAGCCAGTCCGCTTTCACTCGCTTTAATATCAGGCTTCTTGCTCTGGCTGGAGGGGGACTGGAAGGAAGGAGGGCCCTCGGTAGAGGAGCAGGAAGCCTATTAGCTGTAGTCTGGGCTCTATGTGGTGTGAGGGTTTAGGCCCTTTCACTAAGGAGAAGATGACTGGTCTCTGATCTGCAAGGCCTGTTTCTTAGAAAGGAAACAGAACAAAGTTAAAGAAAAGTTAAAGACATCCACAGCAGCCCAATGGCCAGAAACCGAGAGCAATCCAGCTCTTCTTTCTGCCCAGGAGGGCTGCCTAGTCTTCCGACTTTGAGGTCCCAACTAGATATACCTCCTTCGAGAAGTCTTCCTGACCAAACATGGCTAAAGCAGTAGCCCCTACCACTACTCAACCTCCCAAACACCCAACACGACAGAGCATAAGACAGCATAATACAACCCGACTCAAAATCCAACACGGCTCAACTCAGCCCAGCCCTCCCCAGACCAACGCAACGCAACACAACTCAACACCACCCAACCCAATCCAGCCCAACACAATTCAGCACAGCACAACTCAACCAAACCAGGTTACCTACTAATACGTTATCCTATTTTATCTTCTTTGTAGAATTTATGACTGGCTTAAATTATTCTATCTGTTTGTCTCCTCTCACTAGAATGTGAATCCTTAAGGGCAGGTACTGTCTGATTGTTCGTCACTGTATCCTACCAATTAAAGAAAGTGGAACTCAGAGCAACAAGGGCAAAAAATAAATATATGTGGACCGATTAACCTCTTTTGTCCAGAGAGGTGTGTTCTCCCTCTCTGCATTAAATTCAGCAAAGAAATAACCAGAAAGGAACCAAAACCTTTGAGTACCCAAAAACAGGTGACAAAATTCATGCGTGAAAGCTGAAGCTTCGGCTTAGCACAAAATAAATATCATGCCCAGTCTGCTTTTCTCCCCCAGAGAATGTTAGAAATAGCAAATAAGATGTTGTCAGTGGGCTAGGGAAATTAACAGCTAGAGAAAAAGAGGAATTTTTTTTAAAGCAGCTCGGCTCAGCTCAGAGGGGTTTTTCTTTCAGTGCCAAGACCAAAGCCTCCTTTCCTCAGCAGGCCCCTAGGGCGCCCCCTCTTGCGTTAGTTCACTAAAGAATCTTTGGCAGAGTTTTTCTAAGACGTCAATAAAAGGTTCATCAGTCTCCACTATGTTCTGTTTAATGAGGCAGAGGCATTCGTCATTAAGGCCGCAAATGTTTTCACCTACAATGGCTAATGTGAAAAAGGATTGGCCGTTACCAGTAAAGATGCAGCCATCCTAAGTGATCTCGAACACTCGGGTCGTCTAACTGCTGAGCTCCCAAGGGCAGTCTGTCTGTTTTATTTCTCTCCAGGGCTGTGCTGGTGTGGGATACATCGATTCATTTTCTGTGTCGGATGCGTAGACATGTGTGTGTGTATGTGTGCACCACTAACGAATGGATGGATGGGAGAGCCCAGGAGCAGAATTCGCTTGGTATCGAAAGAAAGATGGCCCTTCCAGCACAAAACAAGGAAACGACACTGGGGCACTTATAGCATTTTTCAGTCACCACCATCCACCTAAAATACTATTCTCTCTGCACACACACACACACACGCCTATTTCCAAAAAGGAGTTGAGGCAAGTTACAATTAAAGATGTACTATTTTCATCTAAGAACAAGAACAGTTTCATGAAATGGGAAGGTAAATCTAGGCTTAGGAGCATAGTTGTCACTGAGCACAAATTTCAACCCTGAGCTTCCTGGCAGCCAAGGCAGAAAGGGAAACCCTAATGGAGTTGCAAATCTTATCATCTAAGGGGAGGACAGTAGAATTATAGAATGTTAGTGCTGGAAGAGATCACCCGATCCTCTCACCCGGTCCTGCTAACAACGAAAGACAGGCCCAGAAGTGGGAAGTCATTGCCTGTGATCACACGACTCGGGAACAGTGACTCAGTGGCAGTGTCGAGACCAGAATCTGGGACTCCTGAGTTCCATCCCAGTGCTGCTTGCCCTTTAGTTTGCTGTACCAGGACACGTGCCAGATTGTTTCGAGACTTTTCTTTGTATAAAGGCCGCGGGGTGGGTGGGATCTTCATGTGCGTCAGACCTCTGGGTTGAGCCCTGAGCCTGGCAGTGCCTTGTGGGGCAGCGGGAGCGCTGATGGGAACTCCTGCCTGCCGCCGCTGTGTTTGCTCAGGGCCCAGACTCGGCTGGTGGGAAGCCAGGTGCCTGGCATAGAGTGATGGTGGGGACAGGGAGGAGGCGATGGGGGCCCCCAGAAGGACCTTTCCTGGGAAGAAGCCTGGGGTTTGGCCCTACTCCAGGGGGCTGAAGGGGCCTCTCTCTGCTGTCTGGGATTCCAATCTCCGCAGCTGGTTGTCTGAAGACAATAAGACAGAGGCCTCCCTCCCTCGCCCTGGGCCACCCCACCCTGGCCCCAGATGGGCTGCGGTTAGCGAGGCCTCTGCCAACACGGTTGGTTCCTTGGGGAGAGGCCTGTGCCGAGTGGGCCCATGCCGGGGTGGGCCAGGGAACGGGGTGGTCCTGGGGTGGGACATGCAGAATGGAAGACCAGGATTTCGCGGTCCGCTCTCCTTCCTGGGGTTGTGCGGTGGAGACAGGCCCGGGGCACAGAGTGTCTGGGGGCGGAGGTGGGGGTGGGGGGCATGGAGCTCTCAAGAGGCCCAGGCTCCAGGGGTCAGAAATAGAAGGACATTCTGAGCCTCAAGGCCCATGAACGTCAGCACAGAAGGGGGCCATGAGGATACTCCTGCCACCACCCAATTTAAATGCGAGGAGATTGAAGACCAGAGAGGCTAATTTAGTGTAAGCCTTGATCGGGGCAGAAAAGCTCCTGCCTCATGCACAGGGTAAGTCCCAGGGCAGAGTGGTGGGCACTTCTGCTCCCACTGGCCTGCTCCCCCACCGCTGGGCCGCCTCCCACAGTCTGTATCCTTAGCCCTCAAATAAAGCCCTCGGCCTGACCCCAGTCCACCCCCTTCCCAAAGACCGTGCTATCTCTGCTGCCTCTCCCCCGCCTGCTCATCTATCTTCCTAGATAACCAGATCTCCCCTCTCCCCTGCATCCTCCTCCCCCACACTTAGCTTAACTCCCCCCCCACCCCCGCCCCCACACACACATTCCATCACCCCCTACTCTCTTCCTCCCCTCAATTCCAGGCCCCTTTCTGGACACTGGCCTCCTTCTTCCGTCCCTCCCAGCCCATCCAGAGCCTGCGTGACACCTCCGCCAGCACCTCTCCACCTCCACGTTCCCACACAGGGACCAGGGACCAGAGCCCACAGAGACTCAGGGAAACCCCCGCAGTGACGGCTATGTAAACTTTTCTTTGCCTTCTCCCCACCCCCAAAGAAAGAAACAAGGCATCTTGATGCCTCCAGCAGGCTTCTCCCCTCCTCCTTAGCTCCCCCCACAGAAAACCCTGGGAGGTGGAGGAAGGAGCGGAAAGACTGAGCTAAGCCTGCAGGAAATTAAACATGAAATGGAAACAAGCTCCTCTGATGCGTTCTCTCATCCTGCCCCCAGCCCCCAACTCCAGGCCACTGATAAAGGGGGATCCCGTTTCAGCAGCGCAGAGATGAGACCGCTCCGCCCTTGACTCCTGGGGGGCGGCCTGGGCCTGGACCCCACGACCCTCGGAGGAAAAGGGGCCCTGGGAGGCTCTGGGTCAGGGCCGAGACCTTAAGCCCAGGAGAGGGCCAGTTTCCAGGGAGGATGGAGTCAAGAGAGGGAAATGGAGTGACTTTGCAAGAAGTGTCAGCCGGGGTGTGTGTGTGTGTGTGTGTGTGTGTGTGTGTGTGTGTGTACGCATTTGTGCACAAGTATACTCGGAACTGGGGGAGGGAGTGCAGCGCAGTCACACATTCCCTCCTCCCCGCTACCCTCCCATGTTAACCGACACACGCAGACTCCCTCTTTTTTTGATTCCTTTCCTCTAGCAGGAGACAGCGAGAATGGTCAGGAGCTATAAAGGAGCAAGTGTGAAGTGCTCTAGAAACTGACAAAATGTCCCCTCTAGCTCACCTGCTGCTCTATGGGGCGCCAGCCCTGTGGGGATGTCAATACAGATATGGGCCCACTTTCCAGATGCAGAAACTGAGGCCATTGGCAATGCCAGCGCTCCAAGGTGCGCTCCGTTCCCTGGCTACACCTGAAGCCTCGTCAAGCCTGGGAGCCTCTGTGGTGCCCTGTGGGGAGCCCGTCCACCCCCCTCAGGCCCAGCTCTGGCGCCCTCCTCTGAGGAAGCGTGGCACTCATAACCGAGAGTTCTTTCTGGGGACACTAGCTCTGCAGCGGCACTGGTCACGATGGACAGGAAGTATTTCCACCCACACGGCTGGGACCGTACCTGAGGAAAGCTGGCTTTCTCAGTGCCTAGGCCTGGTAAGAGCTTGACAAGACTCTTTGCGGCTCTGCAGCCAAGGTCCTTGTCACTGCTCTGTGTTCCCCATCCACCAGGCTGTTGATGGTGTGGTTTAGGGTGTACCCGCTTATAACTTAGTCAACTGGTAGGCACACATCAAGCTGACAGAAATCTCCCTCTGGGGAGCTCCAAAGTCTGCCTTAGGCTCGGCCTCATCCTGTCCCCGATCTTATGATCCCAAGTCATGGGCAGGGGTAACAGGCCCCAAGGTGAACTCTTGCCCATGAACTCTGGGAAAATCCTCGGCCTACCAGACATGTGCTAACAAAGAAAATGCACCCTCATCCCCCCACCAAAGATTCTAGCTCTCTCGCCTGACTCAGAGACCACCAGGGTGCTCCCTGTCATCCTCCGTCAGGCCAGCACCCACCCTCCCATGCTCAGTGACAGATGGCCTCCACTCCTGCTCAGCATCAGGCCACTCTCCTGTGCGAGAGTTCTCACGGCGGCCTCGACCGACAGCACCAAGGGCAAACCCTTGCATGTGGCGTCCACGGCCCTCAGCAGCCTGACTTCTGCTTCCGCCTTCTTTCTTTCCCATCCTCCCCGCAACAAGCCTCTCGAGGTCTCCCGAATGTGCCCTGCTGTTTCTGAACCCGGGCCTGGGCTTTCCTCCCTCCAGCCAACTCTCGAGGCCCAGCTCCAGACCTCCCTTCCCAGAAGTCGGACTGCCTGTTGCCCAGCCGAACCCCCGTTATCCACAGGGCCTTTATCACGGGGTGTTCTGAGCTGGGAGACTGTTTCCAACAAGAAGACTGCAGAGAGAACGGAGGGAGGTCGGGAATCTGGGCCAATAGGCCGCGGGAAGCCAGAAACCTTTTGGACAACTGTGGCAAAACCGTGCATGATTGTCTAGTAGAACAATTTTCTGGAGGAGCATTCACAGCTTTTATCGGGTTCCCCACAAGAGTCTGTGGCCCACAGAAGATTGGGCCACACCATGTCGGGGTTGGTTGGATGACTGCTAAGTGACTGGTGATGTGTTTCATGTTTCAAGACACTTGCCTGTTCCAGTGGCTTTGAGAACTCCAGATTCTAAAGCTTGGAAAAAATGGAGTTCCTGGCCCAAGGTCATAGCCATGGCTAGTCGGGGGTAAGCTGCCTTCCTGACTCTCTGTGTCGAGCGTTCTAGATTGCAAGTTTTCGAGGGTAAAGACTGAAGCAGCGCTTATGGGTAGCCCCATGGCCTGTTGGGGCTCAAGGGATTGGCTCGTGCCTCCAGCTTGGGGCCTGATACCTGTGACGACTGTTCTCTCCTGTAGGTCTGGTTCCAGAACCGGAGGGCCAAGTGGAGGAAGAGGGAGCGTTTTGGGCAGATGCAGCAGGTCCGAACCCACTTCTCCACTGCCTATGAGCTGCCCCTCCTCACCCGAGCTGAGAACTACGCCCAAGTAAGTCCCTGCCCTGAGCCGCCTGCTCCAACCCGCGATTCCACGCACCCTGAGAACGGGCACCTCCGAGAACGACCCAGGTCCTCTGAGATGGGCTCATGGCTTCAAGTTCCCTTCGTGCCCCCTCATGCCTAGAATGTGGGTGGGTCAGAGCCATTTCTGTTCCACGTGTTGACCCCAGGCCTGGCTGGACTTTAGGGAAAGGACAGTTGGGGCCATGAGGGTAGCTCCGTCCTCTGCGGCTTTTGCTACTTTTGCTATGGGCATCAGAACTGGGACAGGCTGAGGCCATCGGGAACCATCAGTATCCCCAGGAAACAGAGTCCTGACCTCTGGAGGGCTTGAGGTGAGGCTGGCACGAACACGGAGTCCTGAGTCCCAGGACAGGTTGCCATCCCAGCTCCAGATCTCTCTCACTTTAGGCAAGTCACAGCTCTCTGAGCCTCAGTAAATGAGACATTATAAAAGCACCTGCCCCTGCCCCCCTGTAAGGATCCGTATGGTCTAAATTAGATACTGCAAAAGTACTTTTTGAAGTATGCAATTTCACAAAGGTTGCTCTGCATGCTGTGAGCTCTCCCAGGCTTCTGTGTCCCATCTTTTCCGTCCATCTCCCCGGAGCATCTTCTTAGATGTCTGCCAGCCAGTGAGTGGCCTTTGAGTCCTTGGCGAGATGCAAAGAGATGAGAAGTTATATGAGTAATGTCAGGCACCGGAATGCTGGGAGAGATGTACTTTTGGCCAAGTCCACTCCTGACACCCCTTACCCTATCCAATGGAGGTGGCCATTTCTCCCTCTCAGGCCTTCTGTCATGGCCTCTGCCTTCAGGTCTAAGCCCAGCTGTACCCACAAGTGAGCAAGTGGCCCAGACCTTCCTAAGCCCCCTTCTCACTCTCCGTACTGGTGTACCTGACACCCCGCTGGGACTCGCTGGGATTCCTGTGGAACGGGTCCGGGATCAGGCCTGGGGTCGAGGCTGAGAAATGTGGGGTGTCTCATGTGTACACACCATTTGCCTCAACTCCTGCTATGTCCCTTCATCTTTTCCCCCTCTCTCTCCCTCCCCAATCCCAGCATCCCTCTGTCCCCTGGACGATGGATCTCCTTGGCCTTGATCTCTGCTGCCCACACACTGGAGAGGGGAAAACAACGCAGAGCCAAGCTCATCCCTCTCACCTGCAGCACCACATATCACGTGCCCCAGACCTCTTGAAAGAGGGGGCGGGGGAGAGGCAACAAATCCCCATCACCCAACGGGAAGTCAGTCTGCAGGCAGTTCTTGTCACCACACCTGTGGGATTTGGGGACAGAGGTCCCTCCTCGCTCTGCTTTTAAACGCCTTCTCTGAGTGCGCTCGAAACACCAGGGGGTGGGGGGCAGGCCAGCGAGCTGCTTGATGGCCACCGAGAATCCCCTGCATGTAGCTGAGAGGTGCACACTCTCCTCCTCAAAGCTTGTCCTGCTCACCCTGCCCCTCCGCCCAGGACACTTGAAAAGATGTATTTTGGGCTGAGTCCTGAGCTCTACCTCCCTATAAACGCTTAGAGGAAAATGGAGCCCAGAGGCAGAAGCTAGGGAGGGAAAGGGAGTACAGCTGCCCAGATCGGAGATGAGGTGCCCAGCTCAGCCCCCACTGCTGCCTGGGTCTTCTCTACACCCCGAGCCATGCGGGCATCCAGCGGCTCCATCCATTCACTCATTGCCACTCACCGTCTACTAAGGCTGCCCCATCCATCTTGAGTGAGTTCTGAAGCCAGTGCCTAGAACCTCGGCCACTGACCCTGGCTTCTGGGAGATTTAGGCCCCCAGTGCCCACTCCTACTCCCTCCACCCCCACAACCTGCAAGCCCAGAGCCTGCGTTTCCGGTGCTAAGGCTCCCCCAAACTGTGGTTAGCTCCCATGTATCAGGTACAGAGGGGCCAGAGGTGAGTAAGACATAGTGGCTGACCCTAAGGAGCCACGGATGGAGAGACGAAGTCTGCAACTGTGTCTGAGTCAGGAAGTCAGCCAGCTGAGGCAGGGGCTATCAGCTCATTAGCTGTGGTCCAAGGGCAGCCCTTTTACTGGACCCTTGATGAAGTTTGAAGTTCAGCCCTTAATACGGAATTTCTATCTGCTGCCGGCCTGGCCCAGGGAACACAGGAGCCAAAGCATAAAACCTAGGTCCTCCTGGGGGCATCTGAATGGCCTCAAAAGTATTGAGAGGCTCCCAAGTAGACATTCGAGAATGGTTTCATCATAATGATGGGCTCCTAAGTGGGGAGGGGTCATTCGCGGGGAGGGAGAATGACCTTATGTGCTCACGCCGCCCACACCCCAGCCGGCCTGTGACATCTCTCTCCTCCCTCTCCCCAGATTCAGAACCCGTCCTGGATCGGCAACAACGGGGCCGCCTCGCCAGTGCCCGCCTGCGTGGTTCCCTGTGACCCGGTGCCAGCCTGCATGTCCCCTCACGCGCACCCCCCTGGCTCTGGGGCCAGCGGCGTCACCGACTTCCTGAGTGTCTCCGGGGCTGGCAGTCACGTGGGCCAGACGCACATGGGCGGCCTGTTTGGAGCCACGGGCCTCAGCCCAGGCCTCAACGGCTACGAGCTCAACGGCGAGCCCGACCGGAAGACCTCGAGCATCGCGGCCCTCCGCATGAAGGCCAAGGAGCACAGTGCGGCCATCTCCTGGGCCACATGACAGGGCCCCTGCAGTCCCATCCCTGTGCCTCCCCCGCCTCGGGGCACTGGCCATGCCCACGCTTTCCGGGCCCCCAGCCTCCCACTCGACCTTCCTCTTAGGAACCTGGCGCGGGCCAGGGGCCTGACCCTCAGCACTTTCAGCCGCCCCAAGTCTGAGGCCCCGTGGACTGCTGGGGGGGAGGGGTCAGCAGGCCCCTGCCCCTCCCTGGCACGGAGGCCGAGCCCCCTGCTCCTGGCTAGAGGCGGTGGAGGAAGCCGGGTAGCCGAGTTTCGCAGCTTTGCATCCATTATAAGCTGAAGACCCTTTCTCCCCACTCCTGCTCCTCCATCCTGCCTGGTTTAACCATTGAGTCGAGTTTAGATCCTCATCCAGCCCTAGCAGCGGCAGCACTGTGGTCACGTCCGTCCGTCCGTCCTTCCCTCTTCTGTGTGGTCCCTGGTGGCTCGCCAGGCCTGTGACTGTGTCTGAAGAACAGGCTGCCCCGCAGAGTCAGCCTCCTGCCCTCCTGTCTCCTTTTCTCTTCCTAAAAGCCCACGGAACCTGACCTCCTGGACCCGGGGCACCTGCCTCGCCTTTGCCCTGAATGGAGGAGTCCCCATCCTGGTTGTGCCCTGGGCTGGACACACCCAGAGGTAATGGGCGGAGGAGGAAAGGAGCTGGAACCAAAGAGTCCTGCTGGAGGATGGACAGTGCCCGAGGGCACACGTTCCCACGCCCTTGCACCCCGGAGGCTCTGGGTCTGGGTGAACACGGCACGGGGAGGATGCAGACTCCCCGTGGTGCCCACGGTGCTGGAGGAAGAAAAACTTCTAGAGAAGAAAAAGGCCTTCAGGGAGGTGTCCAGGTGGGTAGGGACACACTTCTGCTCACACTTCTGCTCTCCAGCGTGCCTGATCCCGCTGCTGGGGCAGAGTGACAGCTGCAGTGGACAGGTCAGGATGGCTCCATTCTCCATTCGGTCAGGCTTCTCCAGGAGGATCTATCTCCCTCCCCCTGCCCATCCTGGTCACTTGCTGGGGCTGAGCAGTGACCAGGCATGGAAGGACTTACACCTGGGATGTATAAGCTAGGGCCTGGGGTCACAGTGGCAGATGGTCAAGAGTCAGGTGCAGGATTTGCTAGAGGATGTGTGGCCATGCTCAGCCTCCAGGAAGAGAGGGAAGCCCTTACACGGCCCCACGCTGCCTTTCCCTCATCGGCCATCTCTGGCACAGCGTCATACCTTCCAGAGCCTTCCATGGCAGATGGGGGCTCCATAGTCACCCAGGCATCGGGCAGATCCCCTTAGGGCATCGGAAATCTCAGTCACTCTCTCTGGCCTCTGGAAGGGCTCAAGGGGCTCGGCTCCCCTGGGTTGCTTGCTCTGTTCCAGATGTGGGTGGAGGATTCCTTCTGGAAGGCACCTCCTTCTGTGGGGGGACTGGGAAGTGGTACTCCACATCTGCCTGACCTGAGACCTACAGCTTGGGCTTTGGCACTGAGTCTCATCTGTCACGGAAGCTTGTGGCACACAGTGCCCATCCTCCGAGGCAGGCCTTTCAGGGCCCTGGGGGTTCCCCAGCAGGTAGCCCCTGGGGAGAAGCATTTGCCATTTCCTTCTGCCTTGATCCCGTCCGTGGGGAGGGCCAGGCCTATGGGGCAGGGGGTCTGGACGCCAGGTGGCCTCTAGGGCGGGGCAGCGGGGAGCAGGGTCCTCGGCCCTTGAGCTGCTCAGGGTTGACCTTGGCCTTGTGTTCTCATCTGATCCGGAGATAGGACTGGGGACAGGGTCTGGCCTTGGCCTCCCTCGATCAGAGTCAGACCTCTTTGTGAACCATAGCTCTAAAATCAATCTTCTAGAAGTGATGAGGGTCTTAGACATTGAATTAGATGTTCCCGAAGGCTCGGCTTTAAGGGTTTCGCTCTTAGGGAGCCTTTTCCAGTTCTGAGGTTCACTGAAATAACTCAGACTCCCCACAGCCTAGCAAGGGAAAGGAGGAGACCACCTAAGGCTGGGAACAGTCCCGTTTCCTCCTTAAATGCTCTAGTGGCCGAAGGACATGAGAACTTTCACCATAGGTATGTCTTCACCCGGAAGAGAATCAGTATACGGAGGAAGAGAACCGGGATCGCCCCAGAGGGAGGCAGAGGGAGAGGGCTCAAAATGCATTCTTCTGGAAGGTCCCCTGGCACCTCTGCGTGTCTGCTTTATGGCTGGGCGAGACTTAAGTCAGGCAAGTTTCAACCAAAAGGCCTGAGAAGAAAAAGACTCTGATAGAAGAAGGCCCAGTGGCTCTGGCTGCCTGTCCCACCGACAAACACCAGTCTCAATGATTACAGCGTCCCTGTTCATCTCCCCACAGGTGGCTACCCATTCCGAGGCCTGTCCTCGCCCTGTCCCACTCAGATCGCAGAATTACCGAGCAGGGTAGCGGGGATTAGAAACCCTCTGGTTAGCCCAATCCCTTGACAATGGAGATAAGCAGACGCTGGCCCCCAGTGGAGAAGTGGCTGCCCCAGCTGCCTTTAACTTGAAGCAAAGCTGAGAGAGGAGCCCAACACACCGCCCAGGCTCTGACGGTGGCCTTAGTGGACATTAGATGGCGGGTGCATGACGCCCTGGGCCTCACGCCTCGCTCAGCAGCTCAGCTCCTTGCTTGAGTCACTCCCTCTCCTTGCTGGTTCCTTCCCAGTCGGGCAGGTAAGCTCAGGCCTTCTGTGTTCTGGGGTGGGAGGTGTTCCTGTTGCAGCTCATAGGATAATCGAGCAAGGTTGGGTGAACCTCCGAGGTGCGGCTGGCTTCCCTTGGAAGGCAGGCAGAGAGGCGAATCAACCTGCTCTGTGGTCACTGCTAAGCAAATAAGCAAAAGACATGAGGATTTCCTTAGGCTACCCGCCTGAGATCTCAGCAGAGATGGCCATACAAGCCTGAAGGCTTGGGTGGTGGGCAGATCGACAGCCAGCCTCCCCAGCACTGGGCTGCTGGTCCTGCTGGGGTAAGTCTCTGTGGCCAAGGCTTGACATTAAGGTGCTGCTACCACCCTCAGATGCTGTCACTACTCCCGGGGCCTGGGAGGAGAGGGCTCTGGGGGCACATGAAGAGGCTCGGCCCCAATTCTTTAGTGGCACTTGGAGGACATGGGCTTTGTAACTTTCCTTGAGTTCTTTCAACTATACTTGATTCTCAGCTCTCACTACTACGTGGCCAGGTTAATCTGAAGACACTGCAAAGGGGTGGGGGCAGCAATTGCGAGGCGGGGCCCCAGCACACATTGCTGTGGCCACACTGAGCCCAGCTCCAGCGCCCCCTCTGCCCTCATTTCGGCTGGATAGACAAGAGGAGATGTTCCATGAAAATGACCATGGACCCTACTTAGGCAGCCACCCTCTCCTTGGGCTGGGCTGTGGGGAGAACCTCTTGAGAGGCACTCCAGGGCTTTCTGGCCTGCTCGATGGCCCTGACTGTCAGGTGCAGGGGCAAACAGGACTCGCTGGGGGAGGATGGCTGGCAAACTGGCCCCCAGGATAATAATCTATGACCATGAAAGAGAAGAATGAGAAGACAACGCAAAGTCGCACCCACCCCGCTTCACTTCCTGAAGGATGCTGTAGGGAGGAAAGGTGTCCCAGTGAACAAAGCGTGACCTAGTTCCGCCCCCTTCCCTTCCCCCTTCATTTACGTACATAGAGCTAGGCCTTTATACTACTGATTTTGAAGGACAGTTTTCAGTGTCTAACAATCCGTGTGGGTGTGCGGTGGTTGCCAAGAGCTGAGCGCTAGAAGGAACATGAACCTCAACCAATACTGACTGTTCTCATTGTAAGATATTTTAACCCTGTATGAACGCAACTTCTCCTTTAGCTTAATGGCCTGGGGTGGATATTAAAATATATATTAAAAATACATTAAAATTCAGAAAAATGCATAAAAAAATGAGGTCAGTTCCATAAAGTTTTACTGCCTATCACCATGTAACTACATTATAGCAAAATATTAATAGAAACGTTCTTGCCTTTTAAAGTAAGTTATTGCACTTACATCTTTTTTGGGAGGGGGGAATATCAATAGGAAGGGGACTTAGGGGCCTAGGCCTGGGGCCAAATGGAGAGCGGAAGCAGCTGGACGCTCCCAGAGCACCCTTGGCTGGGCACAGCCCAAACTGTCTGTTTGGTTGTTGTTTGCAATAAACTCCTTCTCTTTCCTCCTCTCAACTGGAACCTGTCTGTTTTGTTCCTGACTTGTGACAGATGAAATGTGATCAGAGGGGCCTCTGAAATCTCACGTTAATTGAAGTCGGCAAAAAATACTAACAGTGCCCTTTTGCACTGCTGACACAGTACAGAGCGGATTACCAGGGCTAGATTAACAACAGGTGGCCAGCCAGGACGCCTGCACAAAGAGGGGCGCATGGCCTGCGAGGGTCTGGGACAGTCCCCCTTCCTCCCAGGGGACCTCCTGCATAGCGGGCAAGCTGGGGGTGGGGGAGAAGCAGAGCTACCAGAGTCCGCTTCTCAGGCAGCAAAAAGGGGTCATGGCAGCAGCTCGTTCACAGCCCACGCACGCGGGTGTGCTTAGCACAGACCATGTCCTCAGGGCTTCACAGCCAGCACGGCAGCCCCTCGATGTCACCGAGTGCCAGTTTGTGTCTCCAGATGCCGTTCTGGAAGCAGGGGGAGAGCCAGAGCATGCAGGTCCAGGGAGGGGAGGCCTGGCCGCTTGGCACAGAGCACAGCACAGGCCTCCAGGAGAGGCAGGTTCCAGGTCCCGGCTCCCCACTAGTGGCACGAGGTACAGCTAGATGATGTTTAAAGCAAAGCACTCAAAATGGTCTGGTGGGGCGGGGCCCAGTTTCTGCTGCAGAATCGGTGCTCACTTGCTTTCCAGCATGCAGGCGACTCAAGGAAGAGGCAGGTTAGCCTCCAGGGACCCAGGGGTGAGGGGAGTCATCTTTGTTCCCAAACCTCCCGATGCTCAGCCCCATCTGAAGGAAGGGAATAAGCCTTGACGCAATCTCGTTTACCGACTCGAAGGGAGAATGAAATGGGGTGGGTACACACGAGCTCGCTGGTCCACGTATTGGCAGAAATCCTGTTTGGCTGGTGCGATCCTGGTGGTCTTCCTCCTCACACAGGCCCAGACCTCTGTGCTCAGCAGCTAAGGAACAACAGGCCCTCCACGAACAGCCCATTCGCCCAAACGCAGCTCACTGCAAACCGTCTACGTGCTCGGAAGTGGGAAGATGCATGCCGGCTCCAGAGACAATGGGTGCTGAGAGCTGACATTTTCCCAGGAATTCTGTGATTCCAAACAGATTTTTTTTTTTTTTTTTTTTAGCTTAACACAGACCAATAGGCTTGAGGAAGGGCAAACCTCGAAAGGAGCTTCGTGACCATGTGCATACCATGTGTTAAGGTGTCTCCTTGAGTGGCTGGAGGCAAACCCACGGTGGGGCCTGCATGGGATCTCCGTGGCGCCCGGCCAAGGGCGTGGTTCGGATGTGCAGAGGCTGCAGTGTTCTTGTCAAGCCTCCTGGGATTTCTCCACCCCTCCCCAGCTCCCTGTCTTTTACCCACACTGTCTCTCTCTCATTTCCAGGCTCTGTGGGAAAGGAGGAGCTCCCTGTTGCTATGACAGTAAGGCC